GCGGCCCATTCGCACTCGAACGATGCTCCATTTTCCTCGTGATTGTCGCCTCGCCATACAGATCAGCTCTCGCTTAAATCTGTTTGCCTTATTTCACTTCGTACTCCTCCTCTTTTTTCCCGTAATCCTTCAGACGACGTCGCCACCTGTCGTTCACAGAAGTTCGCTAGACGAACGGTCTGCTGGCACTGCTTTCCTCTATCCGTCGTACTTTAAGTCACGGCACGTTCAGTACTACAGCAGTAGTTGTCTGCTTTTCATTAAGTACACGAAAGAACCCATAATATTTCGTAGAGCGGTGGTTATCTAATTTAGTTTATCTGAAATGTACACCGTTCTTCTTTGCCTTGTGTCGCATATGACTGTGCATTTTGATCATCAATGCTAAGATGTGGTTAGATTTATGAAAATCCCTAAGCTTCGAGAATGTCAAGAACTACTTCGGTCACAATCCTGATCCTTCAGCAAAGTTACGTGAATCTCGCTTTGATGTATTTTCCAGAAAAAAATATTCCGACACTGACTATAAGCAATTACAGATTTATCAATATTCCGTTGTTTATCATTTCGGGTCTAGCGATTGCAAAGGTGGAAAATCTCGCCGCCGTTTACAAGGATGCGTCGGTGTATGAATGTCGACTAGAGACACCCATGGTCTAAATCAGGGTTTACTACGTATTTGCATCATATCACTGTTTGCCCTGCTGATGTGTATGAGTCTTCTGCCGCTCAGCTAAACATTTAATAGCTGCTTGGTCATCAGTTCTACGGCTAGTCGTGGGACTGAAGCTTTGGAGACTGGAGCGTATGACTGAAAGCAAAAACGCGACAGTGCAAGTCATAGTGAGTCAGTTGCCTCCTCCTTTACTTAGAGTCGCACCTTCTGGAAATATAAGCCCATTATCTAGTTGGTAATAATGATGGTATCGATCATCATCCTCTGATGGGTTGTGTTTTCTTCTGAACTTTTGGAATTGCACAGGTCATCATTAGAAAGCTATCCGCAATGGGATCCATATTTACGAGGGCAGTGTCCGCGGCTAAGCATCTATGTTGTAGTTGTTGTTGTCTTGTCCACGTCATCTGAGACTGACAGAGATTAAACAGCAAAGTACGCCACATTCATAAAGTCTCGCCATCAGAAATGGTACTTTAGACTAATATAACCATGTGCTTGCAATTATCATTTTCCCTACCGTATGTAACCACTTTCTCTTATTCACCTCAGTAGGACAAAAGATATTATTCGTGATTCGAGCCCATCAGTTTTTGGTCGCCAATTTGTGCTCAGTCTTCTGAACATCCAGGCCACTGATCATGATTATTGAAAACTGCTGCCTCTTCAGCGCGGCACGAAACACTGATGGCAACCTAACCAACGTTTAACAGTTCTCACTGCCAACGCGCTAAAGCCAGTTTCTTTTGAATGGTAGAAATACGACCATTGCGACTACCATTTACATAGAGAACTACGGCGTGCCTTTCTCTCAGATCAAGTCTGAGATTTGTTCGAGAGCCCACAGCTACCTATGAAATGCACCACAAAATTTTTCACATCCTCCCTTTAGTCACCTAAAATCATTACCATAGTCCTCTGCATTTCATAAAACCTTTCATCGCACACCGTTGAGGTTCAAAGTTAATGCTGAAATGCCACTTGGAGCGGTTCTAGGTTTTTTTGGCATTTCTGCAGTGCCAGGATTTAGGTGGTACAGAAGACGAGGAACGGTTTCCTTACCGGAAAGGTGACTCGCTGTCGTATGAGAATTAAAGTCTACCTTTATCGAGGTAGATATAACATTCTTATAAAACCAATACACTATGTACGAAACACTGGACACTATAGCAAAGAATCAGCCACCATCCAGATTGTACCAAGTGAGGTTCGTCCTATACTTTGAATTTCCAGTCCTACTATCTCATTCACAGATTGAAGTGTCTTATAACCCGTGGACCTGGCGCTTGTATTCTTTCCGGACCTTCTTCGAAACTAATTTGGATCATCATTGTCTAGTATCGATATTCGCACTTGTCTCTTTACTGTGAATTATGGCCAAAAGATATTTTTGCCTCTCTTGATGCTCATCGCCCCATCTGAGCCAAGTTTTTTTTTTAACTGGCCGCTTGCACACCCTTGAGTACTAATCCGTCACCGCTAAAGTTTATGCCTTATCCATTAATCTGATGGACGTGTTATGTGACCTGTACGTTGTCATTTCTTATTTTAAATTCATATAACATACTATATTTTCGTGCTTCTTCCTATTTCTGCATTTCATACCCTGTCTCAGATGAAATTTCTTAGTTTCCTCCTCTCCCTGTCCCCCTGCTGCACTCTCAACTCAATTCTTCATCATTGTTCGTTAACGCCACGTAAAACTGTTGGTAATACCGCTCACCTACCATACGCTAATGTCGATGTTACAGATGCAACGTGACAGAATTTGATGCTTTAATCCCGATCCATGGTAAAACCATTTCTGAAATTTCGAAAAAACGATTTCCACCAAGTTACATGATAATCACACAGAAGTGAAGATTTAACGTGCCGCATTACCGCAGACTCTGTCCTCAAACTTTCAAGCAGATGCTGATCTCTATCAGTGATGTTCATTCATTGACAATAACTTATTAACATTATCATTAACTTCCCTAGATCCGACGAAGCAACCGTCGTCTCTCTGTGGCACAGTAACATGCCGAAATACAGGTAGTTAGTCCATCATCTACAGGTGGCTGACACCGCGTGTCATGGATTATTAAAAAATCGCTGTCATAATGATTGATTAGTGCTTTAAATGTTTGCAAGACAGCATTATATTACTAGTGAGTGGAATTATCAATGACCCAAGGTGGCGATCTTGGAGCTTATGAGAGCCGAAAAGCTGTACTGTAAGTCAAGTTCAGTCGTTTTCACATAATTTTGCCCACCATCAAAGCACTGAGGTTCTCTCGAAGGATGATCGTGCGTAACATTGGAATGATTTAACTTATGCGAATGAAATATTTTTCATCTGTTCGTCTGCGTTGAGACGTAGGATCGAGATAAAATGCAGTAGTCAAGAATAATATCATCTTACTGTATTCTTGAAAAGATTTTTGTTCAGCCTTTTTTAAAGATGGCTTCAAAATGAAACTTCGTAAACGAGTTTAATTTACGGCACTTCCTTGAGCTATAATTAACCAATAAATCTTGGAATTAAAAACAGAGGAGCATTCATTTTTGAAACCTTCCCATGAATATGTAAATATTGTGCTTTACTCATCTATGTGTTGTTCTTCTGATTCTTGAGATCATTACCCTGAGCCGTTTCGTAAGCTGAATGTCTCTGATTTGCCATATTCCCTATATTCGCAGCCTTACGAAACTTATTCAATGCGATACGGCTCACTGCATCGAAAAAGCAACAATTCTGCTTTAAAAGTGGCACTGCCTTCTACATGCCTCTTAGACGATTTTTGCCACGTTTCTCCTTAAACATCAGGAACGGTTCATTTGCAGCAGATAATTTATGCTAAGCCCGTTTGACTATTCAGGTAGACCTCCATTTCTTGATCTCTACATATACCGAGGGCACATTTGCTCAGAATACGATAGAGTCTCTCTTACATGGACCTGTTATTTGGTAATCCTTGCTCGTGGAAGCCAGCGATGCTTCACGCACTTCCATCGTTGTTATTCTTGCTTTCTTCTAACAGTCTCCATGTCTCCAGACTTATCTGATCGAGGCATGCAACGAACCAGTTTTGTGTAAAAGGACACGTCTTTCTTCGTCCGCAATATGTTACCAAAAGATGTATGGGTGACATCGATTCTTTTATGTAACTCTGATTGAATGATGCCATTGCTGCAGATGATAGAACCCTAGATACTTAAAGAGTTTAACCTTCTGCAACCTAATCTCCTTGCTACATTGGCTCATCAGGTAGCGCTTTGACGAAACTTCTATCACCAGCTAATTAGCTATCGTCTAATGTACGTAACTCCAATAGCTACAAATCAGAAGTGTATCGAAGTATTGGAAAAGGCCTGTCATATTCTACCATATACAGCACGAAATGCCGCAGTGAATTGAATTCGATAATCACATCCACGACGAAGTCATCTCCAAACATCTGAAAAAGATTAAATCATGTTTGCGCATGGATCCTTTGGACCGACCGGTAATAGGCGACGAATGGCTACTACAACAACAAGCTCGCCATTCCTCGATGTTCCGAGCTTTCTCTCTCCGTCTCTCTCCCTCTCCCTCTTTCTCTCAAGCGCGTTCTTCCCGACTCTAATATAATCTTCCAACTATCGCGGTGGGCGACCAAGCAGCCTAATCTGCATGCGAGGAAACCAGGTGGCGACACCGATAACAATAACAATCTTCCGTCGTATCGTTACTTTTCTACCTTTGCTTTCGTCAGTTGTCACTTTGCCGGATTATGGACGTGGTGGCGAAGCCAGATTCTCAACCTCCTTCTTTCCATAGCTCTCTTTGTGGTGCTGTTCAGTCTTAGTGAGTGATCACACCTCGCAACTGAACAACATCGCCAAAGGAGGGAGAGTTGAAGAGGTGGGTGCAGGTTTCTTTCCGATGCTGATGTTGTCAAAGAGGATGTCTTTGATGTCAGGGAACGCACGACAAACGGTCCTCTTACTTTGCAGAATCTTTCTCAACTGTTCATGCAGCATGTTGAAGTATTGGCCAACGTTTGCATGTTGATCAACTTATTCTGTCACTCGCCGTTTGATATTACCTAGGTCTTCCGCCGGGCATTCGATCGCCAGTAATT